CCAGGTAAGGCATACTCGGAGAAGACGATTCTCTTCGCGTAAGAAGGATATTTAGCGGCAAACGCCGCTGCAATTCCAGATCCCTTATCGTGTGAGAAGATGTAGGCTTCGTTGATGTGCAGGAAGTCTAGTACTGTTTTGAAGTCATCGGCGTGTGCAGAGGCGGTATAGTTGCCGTCTGCTGGAATTGAAGAGTCGCCGGCGCCACGGTTGTCGGCGCAAATCACGGAGTAATTTTTGGCGGCCAGAATGGGGGCGACGGTAGAGTAGGAGAGCTGGAAGAGAGCGAAGAGTTAGCATAGACGAGCATTGCCTGGGAAAATTTCTCCAGGCCATAGTGATGGCAACACCGGCGTTAGGACATGATAACGTCGTAGCTTACACTATGTTGAGGGTTTCCATGGATTAGGAGGACAGGAGGTCCAGTGCCGTAATAGCGCAGGTGAATGCTAACATCGTCATTTACTTGAACGCGTTGATGAGGCCATGAGTCCCAGGAAGGAATGTCTGCGACGCAGATGCAGGCAAGCTGGAGGATTGAGAGAAGAAGACCGCGCATTTTCTTTTCCTTTATCACTGACAAGACCGAGGACACTGTTCAGAATGGAAATTTTAGCGACACATACTAGAAGCAAAGCGAGTTTTTAAAATTATGTCCTGATCGTTTTATATTAATCTTCATGTCAATTTAGGCCGTTGTAGTTTTGACGGTGCCACGATATTATGTCAATTCGCTTTTCGGCGTTTTAACTATGAGGTCCAGCTTAATAATGCGAAAAATTCGGGATGTTATGAGAAGCGAGGCTTCCCGATTTTCAAGCATAATTAGACCTCAAAGCTCGTCCATAGACGGGCCTACCCCGCTGGATACGACATCATCGACCATTCTTTTGACTTTTTTTGTACAACATTATTATTGATATCTAGTCACCACAAAATCAACCGTGGGAGCTAAGCGAAGGAAACCGCTCGTCTGGCACGATCTTACTAAGCCTTAGGTCGGCCGTCGGTCCTCTTTTAAAGGCCGGAACCCCGACGGCTGGCCCAGTTCTCTTGACGGGCAGTTAGGGCCCTAGCCAATCAAGTGAATGGTTGCTTGCTTCACTTCCATTGTCCTATGATCTAGCTATCTACGATCCAGGAATCGGCCATGGATCCATAAATTGCGTTGAGTTTGATTGGTGATTTTCAACTGGTACGTGCTCGACATCGGTCGTGCGGAATCGATGTCTATCCGAGTACAAACTCTCTACTCCCTTGTTACTGCGTATCGTTCGGTTGCCCGAAGCTGTATTTGCCACTCGCACTTTTAAAACTCAACAGCGAGACCTGTGGTGGCGGGGAAATAATAACTTATCATAACGTTGGTGTACGTGTGGATTATCTTTGCCTCGAAATTAACCAATCTAATCGACCCTCGATGAGAACAGGATGGCCACACTGCCTATTGCTTCGGCCCGTGTTACCATGTTGCTGCAGGGTGGCAGTAAAAAGGGGTCACAGCAAGTGCAAGCCGCGTGTGATCGATGTAAATTGAACAAGGCAAAGGTAAGATAGCTCCTAAAAGTTCTATAGTGAGTTATAGCTCAATATATAGCAGTGTGATGGAGAGAAGCCCTGTGGTCGCTGTCGGATACGAACAGCGGTATGCATCTATGGCAGTCGAAAACACCTGCAAAAAAATTCGCTTCCAAAAGGGTAAGACTTCATACACTAGAATTTTGGAATTAGTCATCTCATTGACTCATTCTTTTTCCAGATATGCCGAAATTCTGGAACAGGACCAAGCTTTGTCGGTGAAGGGAATTCGTGAACTATACGGCCTTTCAATCAGAGGTGAAAGCTGGCCTGGAGAGTTATTGAACAACACGGACAAAGAACAGAAAACGCAAGAAAGTCCAACGGAGCAAGAACCGACCAATACCCAATCCTCAAACGAATGGTTCTGGAAAGGCACAGCAGACGACTCTAATGACTGCAATGCCGCTCCCGGAACAGCGGACATAACATGTGGAGATTATAGCGTCTTTACATATTTGACTGCTACGCCAGATCAGCCCTCATTATTCAACAACTACCCTGGAAGCCACACCTCATTTCATGCAACCAGTCCTATAAGTCCTTCATTACAAGAAGTAGTTGACTCGGCTACCTTTGCAGAAGGCTCGACATTATGCACCAACGATGACGCTGTAGTCTACAGCCACGATAGCAACAACTTTTACGAATATAATTCTGGGACGAACTTATTCCCGTATGATGAATGGACAGCCGAATCCACGTTTGGGCTAGATGATTATACGCTCACAATCCCTAGATTTGGTGAAGTCTCACACACTTCTGAGGCGAAACAAGTTTACATCCATGCCTATTTCTTTTACTACCACAAAATAAATCCGTTCATCCACGAAGAGACGTTCAAACTGCATCTGTCCACGCAATGTCTACCCGAAACGGAAGAAGAATCATGGTATGTCCTTCAAAATTCGGTTCTTGCTATGGGAGCGTGGTGTATACATGATGGCTGTTCGAACACGGACATATTATACTATGAGAGAGCCAAGCGGTTGTTCCTGGATATATCCTCGCTTGGAAGCGACAACATCATGGTTGTGCAAGCACTCCTCCTTCTTAGTGACTACGCCCAGAAACGAGGCAAGATTGACACTGCATATCACTACCTTAAGCAGACTGTCAGGGTTGCTCTTAATATAGGCCTTCATAAGGAGAAGGATGATGAACTTTCCGTCGTTGAAACAGCCTCAATAGACCAGGAAATACGCAGAAGACTCTGGTGGAGTATATATAACCATGACAGCAACATAGCCATGAGAAATGGTCGGCAACCTTTTCTTCGTCATTATAGCGAGACTGATGTTAAGCTTCCACTGAATGTTGATAACCAGGTAAGAACTCCGCACCCGAATACACAACATGGTCTGATAAATCACCGTTCCATAGATCCTTACTCCCGGCACCAGATTCCTTGTATCAGAAACCGACTGGCCAACGCTATATTCCGGTCTAATTGCCCATGCTAGGTTCAATCTTTTGGCAAATTCCGTATATCAACGCATTGCATCACAGCCGGCCTTATCAGCAATGGAGACCATCAACCTACAGACTGAAATTGATGATCATTACGCGAACATCCCACTATATCTCAAAACAGACGATACGGTTTCTCAACAAGAATGGCTTTTGCAAGCTCGCAGTAGACTTCTGTGGGGTTACAAATATCTCCAAGTTCTTACATGTCGACCATTCTTAGTCAGAATGGCAGGACACAAAGAACAGAAGGAAAAGCTACAACCAGAGTCGGAATCTCGGTTGCTTGCCGCATGTCGAGCTCGGTGTATCCTTAATTCGGCGGAAATCATCGACTCGATGAACGACTACATGAGTACGAGTACGGCCAGCAGACTGGATGCTTGGTATATGGTGTATGGTGTACTTCTTTCGATCTTACGAGACAGTAATACTTTCAATCAGAGCTGTGGGGCTAACAACCAGTTAGGTATCTTCTTTTTCAAGCGTCCATCACACCAATCACATTGATCCGAACGCAGCCTCAAAGCGCCGACGCAGTATTCTGGTGGCAGGATCTCGAAAATGCGCAGCGTGTCTTGTCAACTATTTCGAAGATTGATAATTCAATGGGCACCGATAGCTTGGAGGCTATTAAGGTACTCAGCCTTTCAATTCAAAGGGAGAGGGGTATACTATAGAACTATATCTATTTAAGATAAGATATTAAGTTTATATAATCTAAATAGTGTTTCTAGACTACGGGTATGGTACAGGACAATTACTCTAAGTAGTAGCAGAGATACATATATTTAAATCTGAAACGTCAAAATTACGCTGTATTTTATGGTAAAGTATTAAAATAATAGTCTGAAAAGTCTAAAATCTATATATGCTCTTCCTATACCTTAAGAAATGCATATCCTAAAATTTTAACAGAAAAAAACCCTGGTGGTTGAAATATAGATGAATTAATATTCAGCATCTTGTCTGGTGTTTTGGGGCGACCGGGTGGCCGAGTCGACCGGGAATTAGTTAACGTTAAGTTACGTTAAGCTTAATGACTAACCTAACTAAGGACTGTTCCCAAAACGTCACATGAGGGGTTCACGGGTTGATTGACCGGAATGTGGGGAACGAGATTTTCCCCGTGAAGAGACTCCAACTTGCACCCTCATTTCCACATGGCTCAAGATCCAATCAGTACGAATACATCTCTCCCGTGTGAAGGAGGACCAACATAGTTCCAACGGAGCTGTCACGATTGTAACCGCCGAAAGGTGCGGTGTAGCAAGGTATTTCCGTGCGATAACTGCGTGCGGCTTGGTGTTGAGTGCACCTTTCCACCACCTGGTCGCAGGCCTCGGAAAACACCCAAAAGATCATCGAACAAGGCAGAATTGATTTCCAGATTGAGCCTGCTAGAACAGCAAGTCAAGAAACTCGGCAGCAAAGACATTGCTGAAGGTGCCTCTGCGGATTCCCCGCCCGAACGGGACAATGACGACGGCCCGCACAGCTGCCGCACTGTGCGCTCATGGCTGGCCAAGTACAGACCGGGCGATGGAGTAAATGAGCAGCCGAGAGAGATGAAGGAGGATGAATTTGAGATAAGCAAAGGTTCCGTGTCGCCCAAAGCGACTTCCAGTACGCTGGAGGATCAATTCGGACGCCTCGTCGTGGATCGAAAGAATGGGACGAGCCGTTATGTGAATCATCGAGTTTTGACGGACCTTGCAGATCAGGTATATTTTACCCCTCCATAACATCACTTTTGAGGACATGGAACAGATTTGCTGAAGGGTCTCTCATGGCTGTGGTTGAAGATTAATGAAGTTCGAGAACTTTTTGATTCCCCTGAATCACCGATATTGTCTGAGGAAGACTCCTCGTCGCCAGATTCAGCAGCAGCACACTCGGAAATGTCGAGTCCTTTTATATTTGGCTACCATTCTGTGGCCCCTTCACTCAGCATGTACCACCCACCGCCGACTATCTGCCATCTTCTTTTCAATGTCTTCGAAGAGAATGTGGCACCCATAATTTTGATCATCCATAAGCCAATGCTGAAAGGTCTCCTCCGGACTGTGAGCACAAACCCCGAGGGTTTGGATAAGGGGTCTGAGGCTTTGGTATTTTCGATTTATTTCGCTGCAATCTACAGTATGTCAACGGAAGAATGTCTTGCGCAGCTAGGCGTAGACCACACCATCTTGACCAAACGATATCGGTTTGCAGTCGAGCAAGCGCTGTTGCGGGCAGGACTCCTTCACACGCGCAAGCTGGTTGTGTTACAAGCAGCAGTCCTTTTCCTGAGCTGTGCCTGTTGTCCTCAAGATGCACACTTTATTTGGACCATGATCGCTGTGGTGACTCGTCTTGCCTTGAGCCTGGGGCTGCATCGGGATAGCAGCCACTTCGGGTTAGGCCCATTGGAAACAGAGATGCGGCGACGACTGTGGTGGTACATATATCTATTGGATGTGCGATCATCCGAATCTCAAGCCACGAGCCCACAAATTCGGGAAGGAGACTACGATACTCGATTGCCGTTGAATATCAGCGATGATGATATGTCGCCTGACATGGTTGACACACCGCCGGAACGAACTGGCTTTACAGAGATGACCTTGACCTTGGTCAGGTGTGAAATCCTCACATTGCATCGTAAATTGATGCAACTCAGCAGTGTCGGGGTTGATTTTGATGGACACAACGCGTTGTTTCAGAACCGCCTCCGCACGATAGAAGAGTCCCGGAGGTCCCTTGACGAGCGATATCTCCAATTCTGTGACCTTGAAATCGCGATCCACTGGGTGACCGCGACAATTGCCCGCGTTGCTCTCGCGCGCTCGTGGCTTGTGTCGCACTTCTCGCTGCTGAGCGTCGAAGGATTCCAAGAAGGCCTGTGGCCCGACCAATGTGATCTCCTCGTCCTCACCGCGATTGAGGTACTCGAATTTGTTTACCTGCTTGAAGCCCACGATAATACCAAGAAATGGTCCTGGCTGTTCCAGGGATACGTACAGTGGCAGGCGTTTGCATTTGTTCTGTCGGAGCTCTGCGTGCACCCCACCTCCCCTTTATCAGACCGTGCGTGGGTGGCCGTGGATCGGGTTTATCAACGATGGAATAGACCGATGGGTAATCTACTTGGGTTGATGATGCGACCGTTGGAACGTCTCCGGAATCGGGCTGCTGCAATTCGAGCTGAGCAGGGACGTGATGAAACAAGAGGAAATATGCCTGTTGCAAACAACTTGGCTTAGCTGATGCGGGTATTACGGCCCCGGCTATGGTGAATCCTGTGGAAGAATTCCACGGAGACTTACTCGCTGTTGACACTGGGTCTCTGGACATTTTCATGGACGTGGTGAATAATATGGGTATATAATACAGTAACCCCCATTCCGGTGATATGAAATACCCTGTGTGATGAAACGCCAACCAGGTACCTGCACATTCGAGCACCGTCACTCCCAATCCACATATTGAACATTACCTGAGAGCAGCAGAAACCATAATTATTGATTTCTTACTCGATAGTTCTTTTCAAACAAAGATTATAAACTGTTACAGTGGCGGTTTACAGGACGGCACTCACTACTAGAAAATCTGCTGTTTAACTGTCGAGTGATCAACAAAGCATCTGCACAAGGCCTTGGCAGTGGGATCCGAGACAAGATTAACGATCGTTAGGGAGGAAGCAGATTTCGCTAGTGACTGTACCACCATTACCAGCCACTTCGGAGCCCGAAAGCAGCGGTCCGCTGAGCAAGCACTCATGCTCCTGCAAGAGCAAATCTATGCGGCCTGGCGCGGCCGACGGGTCTTGAGCTTGATCAGCTTCGATGTCAAAGGAGCCTACAATGGAGTGTGCAAAGAACGATTGCTTCAGAGGATGAAAGCGCGAGGCATACCGGAGGATCTGCTCCGGTGGGTTGAGGCGTTCTGCTCGGAACGAACAGCAACTATTCAAATCAATGGGCAATTGTCTGAGGTCCAAAGCCTACCACAGGCTGGACTGCCGTAGGGCTCGCCGCTGTCCCCGATCCTGTTCCTCTTCTTCAACGCAGACCTCGTACAACGACAGATCGACAGCTAGGGAGGAGTAATCGCGTTCGTGGATGATTTTACCGCGTGGGTGACCGGACTAACGGCGCAGAGTAATCGGGAAGGTATTGAAGTAATTATTAATAAAGCACTCGACTAGGAGAAAAGGAGCGGAGCGACTTTTGAGGCTGACAAAACAGCTATTATACACTTCGCTCCTAAAGCTTATAAATCGGACTAGGGGCCTTTTATTATTAAGGGACAGACCGTTGAGCCTAGAGACTATGTCAAGATCTTAGGCGTCCTTATAGACGCGAGACTTAAGTACAAGGAATATATCGCGAGAGCAGCGTCTAAAGGTCTAGAGGTAGCGATGGAGCTTCGGTAACTCCGTGGCCTCTCTCTAGCAATAGCACGTTAGCTATTTATATCGACGGTGGCTCCGGTAGTAGACTACGCCTCTAGTGTCTAGATATACGCTTACAAGGATAAGGTAATCGGACCGATTAACCGAGTCTAAAGGGTAGGAGCGTAAGTAATAGTAGGGATATTTCTTATAGTTACGACTAGCGTAGCAGAGACAGAGGCTTATATTACCGCTATATAACACCGTTTTTAGAGACGGGCCGTAAAGATATAGACGGATATTTATACCCTACTAGAAACTAATCTGCTCTGTAGGTATACGGCCTAGATTAAGAAATTCAGGATATACCACCGTTCGCCGCTATACTAGGTAGCGGACGCGCTAAAAAGTATTAAGATAGAGTTACTAGAAACTATTAATCTATTTATATTAGCACTATAGGTGTTATGGTATTGACCTCTATAAGGCTATTCACACTTTTCGGCCTGAGGCCACCTGAGAGGTTGGCGATGACGCACTAGTTCGGTGATCTCTCACCCCACTTCCACCGCTGTTTCGTCGGAGGAGAGTTGCCCGCTGACCGACATATTTCTTATGCGGGCTGATACGTGTACCTGGTTACCCCTCCTTCTGTTAATGGGGGATGTATATAAGATCAGCCTAGGGAGAAGAAGATAGAGCTCCCTAAGAAACAGTCTCTGTTCTAATCCGACTTAGTGCTCATTTCTCCTACCTAGTTGACAGGCTTACTACCCTGCAAGTAGTTAACATCATAACAATAGGAGACACGTATACAGACCGATATTGAAGTAATGCCGGACTTATAGACTATACTAGGCGGATTAATGCAAGTCGTAGTTAATAGCTCGGCACGAAACGGGCTCGTAGGATTTAGGGTAGCGATCGAGAAGTAGCTACCCCGGTATCGAAAACTAAAACTAAAGACCTTTTCCGTAATATTAGGTATAAGATTAGAGCAAAATCTATTCTCCGCGGAGCTAGCAGTAATAGTATATATATTAAATATGCTAGTAGGACTGAAAGATTATAGGATTATACTACTCACGAGCAATAAAGCAGCGGCTCTCACGATAAGGAACCCTCGATAATAGTTAGGCTAGCAGTTCGTCTACTAGACGTACAAGTTATTAAGAAGACTACGGAGAAACGGAAACCACATTAATATTCATTAGGTCCTGACTAGCAAAGACAATAAACTACTAGGTCTAGCTAAGGAGCAGGCTATAACCGCGACCTAGAAGGATACTGCCCTATAAGGATCGGTCCCTAGGATAAAGTCGATAATACTAAATATCGCTCGGTCCTAAGTAGTTACTAGTAAAGACTTGCTAGAGAACGTAGGGAGATACGTGAAACGAGTAGATATAGCGCTCCCTAGGAAATATACCCGGTAGCTATATAACCGATTATCGTGGAAAGAAGCGAGCACGTTAGCTTAACTACGGACTAGCATAGCAAGACTAAATAGATATCTCTTTCGAATCAACGTAGCGTAGACGGATTAATATACATATAGACAAGCAAGAGAAACCGTGGAGCATTTCCTCTTCCGATGTCAGAAGTGGACCACACAGCAGATAGCACTGCTACAATATAACTATACTTACCAGGGTAACCTCTCCCTCTTCCTGGGCGGGAAATCGCCTTCCGATGATTAGTACGGAGGTCCATTTCAAAAGAAATAAGCAGCGCATTGACCACCACCTTTTTAAAATACTGTATAAACATCGTTTTCTACTATACCCTAAACATCTTCCCAATCACCCTGCTGCTTCTCCCTGCCCTCTTTATATTCGTTTCCTCCTTCTAGCTCTATAATCTGCTTTATATGCCAAGGAATACGCTCAATCCACTGCTGAATCCTTTCCTGCGGTAGTTCTTGCCAAGCTGCCTTCCATGCACTAAACGCTTCCTGCCGGGTCTTCAGTGCTCCCTTACGTGTTGTTCTTCGCTTCATCCAAGGCCACGCAGGCTCAATTGCATTAAGATCAGGCGAATTAGGGCACCAGAGTAATCGTTGTACTCGCGCTACATCAAAAATACGCTGTTAGATATGATAATTATACGCTAGTGCTTTATCTTCTTGTACAAGCGTTCCTGGTCTTTCAATAGCACATTCTTGCGCAAATAGAAGCAATTTTGGTAGTAAAATAAGGCGTTGATATCGATACCAATCGATTCCACCTCGCTTTCCACGGCCTAATTTACCAGTCTTTGTAGTAAACTTCCATATAGGCTTCCTACCACTAGGATTTTGACGAAGATTTAGACGGCGTACGCCAGTTTCAATCTCCCACGCAGTACGTAGAGTAGGTTCAATCTCGTTATTTAAACGTTCGATTTCCTTCTCAGCATCACGTTTTTCTTGCGTAGTCTCTGGAAGCCAACAATGATAGGGCCCTTTCTTATCATAAGAAAAGCATCCCCAAAACATAAATTTAGAAGCGCCTTTCCACCGTTCACGAATACAAGATCGCAAGAAACGCTCATCTTTAGTTCGCCAGATTCGATAACCTCCACGTCGGTGTAGGAGAATCACTAACGTTTCATCGGAGAAGATAACGTTTTTCCAATCTTCTAAAGTCCAGGATTCGTGCGCAAGACACCAAGCAAGACGCTCAGCACGCATCTTCTTCGTCAATCCAGGCTTCCTCGTTAGCTTCGTCTTCCGAAAGCCAGCGTTCTTTAGTACACGATAGATCGTTGTACCAGAGATGTTGATTCCTAGCTTGCTAAGATCACCAGCGATATCAGCGCAGGTCTTTTTCCCGGCCGTATCGATCTAGGCGCACCTTTGATAGGATAATATCAACTGTAGAAGGATCCTGCTTGGTAGGCCTACCGGAACGAGGCTTATCTTCGACATACTGGTTATCAACCATCGTACGATGCGGATCGAATCCTCGCTTGATTGCTTCTGCATAGATTCGATTCACAGAAGGAACAGATAGATCGGTAAGAGCAGCGATCTCAGCAGAAGATTTAGGCGTATAGGCCTTCAAAGCAACTACCGTTGCCCGCCTAGCAATTGTAGACTGCTTTGCCATGTTATCGTGCTCATGTAGTAGGAGTAGTAGAAGAAGCAGAAATAGAAGGGTAGGGGAGATGTGTGTGCGTGTGTGTGTATTCGCCTGGTAAAAGACTAGTGGTAAAATAATAGTGGTCAATGCGCTGCTTATTTCTTTTGAAATGGACCTCCGTAATAGACGCCGAATTTGGAGGTAGTGCGAGCCTTAATACAATTCGTAATCGCCACAGGCCGACTCGACGCCGCCTAACTACGTCGACCAACACAATAATACCCTTCCCCTAACTAACCTATACCTACCACCTTATGCTAAATATAGTAGACGCGCTTTAACTGCCGAGGATAGGATATTGAACACTTAAAGAAGCGCCTTTAAGCCAGTCTACTAGCAAAATTACTAACCCACAAGGATCCCTACGATATCGACAGCTGAGAGGACATATACTGAAAGGATCCATATATGGGCTCGAAGGAGATACGGCATATGTATATTAGGACCTGTACAGTCGGTTGGTTGGTTGGTTGATGTCATTTACGCTGACCCCTCGCTCGAAAGCGATATGCAGTATACTACTACTATATCTATATCCGCGTACGTACATGTAGAGTGTTCCACTTCCTGAAAACGAACTTAGAGCCTCGTCAAGGCCTTCCGTGGCCTAATTGCCGTTCCTGTTGTTAGGCTGCCCTCCTAGCGCGCGACTCCTAAACCGCTGTAACGCCTCGGCAAAGTCTAGCACGGCCTTAACCGTCTTCGCCCGCGAGACGGTATCTGGTTTACCTTTCCTACCTTCGGTTGA